CCCTCCCCACCAAAGTTGTAAAGTTCGCTTTCGACGTAACGACTTGTACATCTCATTTTTGCAATGAGCCCACCTGTAGCCCTACGAATTTTCAAGGACTCAGGTTCTAGGTGTTTACTTTTGTTGAATACTTTCATTGTGTTTCAAGTTCTTATTTTGCCTAACAATGAAGCATGACAGGTCTTAGCTGCTTCTTGGCATTTGGGGCAATATGCAAGGGCATATTAGATGAGTAGAGAAAGCCATACTCTTTTATTGTGTAGTGGAGTCCACTCATGGGGCCTGAACTCTGGGCCTGGGCATTGTCCCTCAGCTCTTCAGCTAAATGCTAGCGCTCTACCACTTGAGCCACAGCGCCATTTCCGGCTTTTTTCTTTTTGCTTATGTGGTGCTGAGGAATAGAACCCAGGGCCTCAGGCATGCAAGGCAAGCGCTCTACCACTGAGCTACCTTCCCAGCCCTCTTTTCCTTTTTCTTACTCATGCATTTTCTATATTTTAATCATGTTTCACCTTTCTGACTGTCTTCTGCAGATGCTTGCTCTGTATCATTGAGGTCTGCCATTAGCAGATACTTGGTAAACAGGCTTAGCTGGATGAACCCTGCTGCTTGACGAGCTCTGGGCTTTGGGTATTTACCCATTCATGTTGCCTCCATTTTAAAAATGCATTGTTCGATAAAAGTTGAAAGATATTTTCTGAAATATTAAGATTTCTGTAGATGGTAATGGCAGAGTTGCGGGATTGACAAGAAATACAAACTTACATTTGAAAAAAGCTCCCAAAACTGTTAACAAATCTGGATTTGGGAGGTCAGCCAGGAGAAAAAAGGGATGATTTTAGTCAGGATAAGGGAACAAAAATGGAGCATGATATTTTTCTAGAACTGCAACTTAAAACTCTACCTAGAATTTTAACAACTGTTCACAGGTTCATTTTATTATGTGTTTTTCAGTTCACCAATCAATACAGCGAGCCAACAATGATGAATCAGTCTCAAAAATAATTCAGTCACAAAATTACAAGGACACCTTTGGGATCTGATGTTAGACAAATCTACTTATTCACTGAAAATTCGTTTTCTTTCTTCTGTTTCCCCCAGGCTTTATTTTTTTTTCTAACCAGCAGTTACTGTCCTGTTTTTTTTTTAATTTTTATCTCGAGTTTGTGAAAATATTTTTGTCATTGTTTTATATCTTACATAGTACATTCAGTTTGTCATTGTACAATTTCTTATAACTGCATCTTTGCTCCCTCTTTCCCTTCATTTGTCATATTTTATTTCTACTTATTGGCATTTCATACACTTTTGGAAAGTTTTACAAGTACATTTTCCTAAAATTTATGTGATGTTTTTATTTGGAAGTTAGTAGATATTTTTTCTCATATTCTTTTCTCTCTGACAAGATAGCACTTACTTTCAAGCTTTTATTTCTGTTTCTTCCTCTTAATTTGACTAGACTTGAATGATTTAGATATATAACATTAATTTCTGCAATTTAGGACCACATCTTGATTTAAACAGCATAAAAGAATTACAAATAATGCAGTCATTCCAAAATCTAACCCTCTTGTTCCCCTCCCCCCTCTACCTAGCTGTAGCCTTCCATTTCTTTCACAATGTAGCTGGTATTGTATACCATCACCCTCCATCTTGAGATTCTGATGCAATATGCTTCCAAGGCCTTTATATTTTGAAAAAGTTCCCTAGAGGAGTCTGATATGCACTCCTTATTAACAATGAATGTTTTAATATTAGAATCAAAGCACAAGAAGCTTTCTGAAATGAATAATCCAATAGATTTAATTATGATTTTCTTTCTGTCCAAAATCAAGACTAGATATTAATTGCCAGGGAACTAGATAAGGATGCCTATGACAACAGTATATTAATGTGATATCAAAGACTAAAAATGTATTGGTAATGAATAATTCAATACTTAAAATATTTAGAACTGCAGAGCTAAAATTAATTTGTTGTTTGTTGTGTATGGGGGTTGAGATTTTGCATTTAATTTTGTAAATTAGATCTTATCTATAGTCTTTCTCAGAAACTAACCAGAAAACACCACATGCAAATATTTACTTCCTGTTTGATCTATTATTTTGCTATCTTGTGCTTTATCACTGAAAATTTTCCTCTAGTAGAGCATACACTGTAAATATTTCTACTGGTTATAAAATCTTGTCACATAAATACAATTGACTATTTAATGAGCTCTTCTTTCACAAAATTAAAAAAAATCTAAATGCCTTCATTTCAGATTCTATGTAAATGAGTTCTAAATCTAACAACTTTTAAGTTATTGCTTTATTCTAAGCTATTCAATTCTACATCCTATCTGCAAAGTAGAAATAATAAAATCTTTGCTTGCTCTACGATTGTAAAAGTCACCATAGCCATCAGCTATGAAGTAAAAAGTCTAAAATCAGAAATACAAAGCAAACAGGATGAGATTGAAAATTTTGAAGCAGCTTGAGTTTATAGCATTGTATTCAACAATAACAATTCCTTGATTATTTAACAAAGATCCAGAGACATTTACTATATCATCTTATTAGTCAAAGTTACTCAAAGTGTTGTTCTCAGACTAGCACTCTCCCCTCCACTTAGAGCCTGAAATACAGAGCATTAGTCTCTCTCCTGACTTACTAAATTAGAATCTGCAGTTTAGCAAGATCTCTATGCAATTTTTAAAACTGTAGTTAATACTTGTAAGTATTGAATACCATTAAGGATACAAACTTAAGCTTGAATTATCCTCTTCTTGTTTAAGGGGATTTTCTCCATTTCAGTAGTCACTTTTATTTTGCATAATCCAGCATAGTTTTATACCCTTGATATTTTTTGTGTGGTACCAGGGTTGATTTGGGGGAGGGGGTATTGTACCACTACTTCAACCCGGGGCCTTTTTCCACTTGAGCCATACCCCCATCTGTTCAGATAAATTCTCTCCTACTTTTTCCTGGGTCAACATCTGGCTGTGTATCATCTCTACCTCCCTAGTAGGTGAGATTACAAAGATACACTCCCAATTCTGGGCTACTGTTGATTCTTCCTTGGCAGTTCCTTCTAACATTTTCTTTCCAGCCCATTGTCAAAATTCTACTTTTTACCTCGATTCCTTTCAATCAGACTCTTATCCCATTTTACCTGTTTCCCTGCCTCCACGATGGATTTTGTATACTACATCAGAATTTTCTATCAGCAAAGCTTTGATTGTTTTTGATTTTTCTATCCTATTGTCTATAATGTGGCACATTATCATCCACAAATAGGTCCTATATCTCCAATTAGACCAGAGAGTGCCTGAAACCTAGAAAACTGTACGTACTTTGGTTTGGAATCTCTATGATATTTTATGATAATTATTAGTACTAATGATAGTATGGTGATGATGAATTTAAACCTCCTTTCTTCATCTCTTTCTCCCTTCCTTCATTTGTCCCCTTACTGTCTCTCCTCTCCTTTAATAGTTCTTTCATTCAGATTCATGAGTTTACTAAAGTGAGACTTACTGAAACCTTTTGTATACAAACCTCAAGGTGTGTACGGTTCAATGGAAATATAGACACCAATCATTATAACTGGGCTTTCTTCTCCTCAGAAGTATCTGCCACATGGAACACTGACCTGAACATGTGGTAAACAGTGTAACAAAGTCAACTACTTGCAAGGAAATGGAATGTTTTTTCCTAGAGCACATCTCATGTGCATTCAAGAGACTATGGTCAAGACAGCTCATGAGTAGTTCAGTAACGATGCATACTTCCATATAGTGTAAGATACTGTAGTCTTGTTGCTTTTGTTGATTTATGGAGTCTCAATTGCTTGAAATAGGCTGTGAAGAATTCTAATATGAAAACTAATATTACATGAAAGTACTTTAAATGTACTGAAAATCTATGTAGCACGAAAGTCTAAGAGATTTTACTCAGTGTAAAATAATGTGCATTAATTTGAGATCTACTATGAGCTTGGTAAGAAGTACAAAGATGTAATATAGGATCACTTGAATTACATCCATTTGCAAATGTTTTCTACGTTTTTATTTGCTTTGTCAGTAACATAGGGATTTGGAATCATTTAGCTGTAAATATGGAGTTATTTCAAGTTGCCATATAGTGTTTCATTTACTAAACTTCAGATTAGCAATAAGCTATTTTAATTGTCTTTCAAAACCTACATTATTTTTTGAAGAGAAGTAACTAGAGAGGGATTGCCATTTGTATTTAATTGTAAAACATTTTCATTTTGTCTATACCTCGTAGTAATAGTCTTTCTTTTAAGGGAGCAATTTTCTGATACTCACTCAAAATTTCATTTAGAATTAAGAAGTAGAAGATATTTAAACTTGACACCATCAATAACACATAAAAATGTTCTGCTGGCTATAGATTCTCTTAAAATTTATTACTATACCTCAGAGGTATATTTGATGGGCTGCACCTAAAACCAATTAATTCTTAGTTTTATGAGGCATTTTAATGCAAAATGCATTGGCGAAAACAGAATTCGAGATAAATTTTCTTTTCATATAGTAATTTTATTTTAAAATTTCAAGGCATTTTTAATGCTAGGCTAAAATTTTATTTGTTCCTTTCACCTCTCCTATAGACAAACACAAAGAAATCCAAATACTTTATTCACGTTTAAATTTTACCACACTTTATAGACTATTAAACATAGAACATCCTTGTGGGGATAAGTTCACGACCAATTGATTTGTCGGACATTATACCATCCTTTAGCTGACAAGCTTGCAAAAATAAAAACTAAGCTGAACTGAGAGGATGCTTTTTTACTGACACATAAAAGGTATCTTTCTGCCTTGTATCCTTTGGATATGGGCATGTCAGTTTCATAGAGCACCTCTCACCTGGAGTTTTTATATTTCTTTTTCTCTCAGTACAGCTGAATGTGGTAGCACATTGTTTAATCTTTCCTCAGTAAAGGGACATGGAGTTTCATTTTTGTTTTGCCCTTTTGCAATCCTACAGGAACTTCAGGATGGCATTGGACAGCGGCAAACTGTTGTCAGAACACTGAATGCAACTGGGGAGGAAATAATTCAACAGTCCTCAAAATCAGATGCCAATATTCTACAGGAAAAATTGGGAAGCCTGAATCTGCGGTGGCAGGAGGTCTGCAAACAGCTGGCAGAAAGAAAAAAGAGGTAGGGTGACACATAAAACAGGAATGCTGAAATTTGTAGCAAAGCTACTTAAACTGTCCTTTAGAAAAAGATTGCATGAAAGGAGATTATAAGCTGGGTGAAAGGCAATACCTTTAAAGAGGCTATCAAGTTAATCAATAGCAATAAAGATTTTCTTTTCTCAGGTCCTAAAATATATACTTGTTGCTACTTAGTGCTTTTCTGTTCTTTTCAACTTTTGACTTTGTTTTAAAAATTACACACGCCTGCTTAACTGTAAATGTTTTCAGCTTATACCAACTTTCAAACACTGAAGTTCAATTATAACTTTTTAAAGATAAATGACTGTTTTGTAGGAAAGACAGCTCTTTGGTAAGATTTTTAACAGCTATACATATGATTTTGATACTAAAAACATGATAGTAAGATTTGCTATTATTTCCACTACATCTGTTAGTACATTCTTGAAGAGGTATGTAGGCCAAAAGTATTCAAATTTAGAGAGGAAAATAAAAGAAAAAAAGGTCATTGTTGAATTCAGTCATCATTTAACTTTCTCTTATATTCCACTGAAAGCACTGACAGCCAAATGCATGCAATGGAACTTGGAAAGCGTAGATATTTTAGAAATGGGATCTGGTATTGTGCTTCTAATTATTGACACTAATGTTTCTTATTTTGTAAAGGAGGATTTAGCTTTTATTTATTAAATGAGAGTATTATTATGAACATGGAAAACTCATTTCTGTTGCCAAGCCCTTACATTCTATTGTATACACAAGACAGAAACACCTTATTCATTAACATCTTTGATTGTCATGTATTAGAATGAAGGCTTTGTAAATATGTCCATTGTCTTTTACCCATGTCTTTTTGTTCATGTGACATCACTCAGAAAGTAGATAAAAACCCTACCTTTGTACAAAACTTACATTCAAGTTAATTTCCATCCATATGCGTGCTCACACATGCACAAACATACACACACAAGTCTTGTGGACATTTAAGAATAATAATATTAAATATGTTTTATTTTTAATCTTGATTTATACAATATATTTGATTATATAAAGATAAAATGGAGACCCAATTTTAGAAGTTTGTTTTCAAAGAAGAAACAACTTCTATTAATCCAAAAAGTTTACCATTATTTAAATAACTGATACATTTATATTATAAACAGGTTTAAAACTCTACAATGTGATTTAAGAACTAAGCTGATATATTCTAAAATAAGATGAAAAGAAACAAAACAAGATTAAATAAATGGGTTACAATACTATAAATACATATCTTGAATACAAAAATACCTTAACATGTATGAGGTATTGTTTCTCATTGTAAATATTTTCCAATATAGTATATAAATAAATAATATTTTCTTATGAATCTAATGAATTTTAAAGATCTTGTTTTATGTTACTGGCTTCTAAATGTAATTGATAATTTATAAATAAATTGAGTGCATTATATCTGTTTCAATTTTATATCTGCTTCAATTTTATAAGAAAGGAGTAGATGCTGACTGTGCTGTGAAATATGATCCAATTGTAGGTTAATTACAGCAAGGGATTTGGCTATAACTGGTTAGAAAATTTTCTCCTGTTTCAATATTTTGACCTATATTAAATATTGCACTTTTGTGCTTTAAAAAGTCAAGATCAGCTTCTTTGAGTTTTTAACTCAGCTTTTAAAGTTGTCTACTTCATGCTACATTTAAAAAATAAATGTTAGCATATTCTAAATTTCACTGCAATCAGTTCTGTGACAAACATCCTCAAGATTTTCATATTATTTAGGTTCTGTTAAATATAACAAATAAAATATATAAGAAAGATTCTCCAAGTTCATTCGCAGCTATTTCTAACTCTGCAATAGCAAATCATGTACAAATAAATAAATTAATATGTCCTAAAGGATATGTTAATGTAACAATTGTGAGAGGGCTATAATCATGAAATCATTGTTAATCAATAGCATGCTTTTAGAGAAACACAAGTGAAAGTTACAAGCAAATAGAAATTATTAATTGCACAGGTGAAAAATAAGATACCCATTTGAGTTAATCATATTCTTCATTTGTAATAGTCTTTAAATATAGCTGTTCACATTCCTCAAGCCAGGACACACATGAAAGAAAGTGTATAATTTAAGCAAAAAAAAAAATAAAACAGCCTAAAAAAACTATTTGGGGCCTTAGAGCTATATAATTTTAAATCTTTGAAAATGTAACGTATCAGAAATATGAAAAGAAATTCCTCAGAAATATTCAAATAGGAGTGGACATCCATTAACATTAGTCTATGTTAGAAGCAAATGAAGTATAAAATACAGTCAATTAACTGTGTAATTTAAGAGAGAAAATTTACTTTTGCTTCAATTATTAGCAGAAGAACTGCATGATGTCCATAGGGTTAAGCATGATAGTAATGAGTTTAATGATATCTTAGCCACCACAATGATCTTCACAAACAAGGAGATGCAAATGAAAACCTATTCGTTATAAAGAGAAGTCACAGGTTTAAGTAAAGAAAGCCTATGTACAATAGTTTTGAAGCATAGGTCCATAAATGGAATTTAAGAATTGTCAAGGTCAAAAAAATTGTCAGAATCTTGAATAGGGAAAAATTACTTCTTTGTTTTCCAAAATATTATTTCCTTCTATTTTGAGTTCAGGGGGAAAAAATCACAGTAATATAGCAGTACCTATGAAATTATTTTCATACCTCATTAGAGTTGTATATATCTCAAACACTGACCATGCTTTGTTTTATTTTTATATTTTGTTTTTAGTTTACTTGTACAAATTTATGTTCCTAGTGTGATAATTTGGTAAACATGTACATGATTGTTAAATTAGGGTAGCTAGCATTTCCAGTTACACGAACATTTTTCTAAATTTTTTATCAACATATACTACTCATGGGGTACAGTGACATTTCAATCGTGTATATATGCATATGCATACATATGGACTGGTGATATCAGAATTATTAATATTTTTGACTCTTAATTATCTTTGGCCCATTCACATTTTTATCTTCCATTTATTCATGCAAGATGTAATAGGATATTTTGAGCTATGATATTCCTATTGTGCTGCATATTAGACTAGAAATAGTTCCTTCTATTTAATGGTAAACACTTCAAAAATGCAGTGCTTCTTATATTTGCCTGAAAATGATTTTATTTAATGTGGTGATAAACAAATATATATTATATCAAAATGTATTTTTGTAATAGTTTTGTGCTCGTGTTTCAATATAATTTATTTCCTTTCTAGTCTTAGATATTTTCTATTATTTATTTAATACGTTATTGTTAGGAGTCCTTTATTGGTCAGTTATCTATTCACAAAGGAACTTATTCTACTTTGCTATAGCTTTTACTTTGATATACAGTTACAATTTGGGGCACTATTGTTCTTCTAGAGTACTTCAAGGGAAGACATTTTAGTCAAGACAATGCAGGGATCCATGTTTTAGGCAATAGATTACTGACAGCATAATAAACAATATTTTTTCATTTTTTCATACATTTTTATTGTTATTATAAAAGTGATGTATACAGAAATTATAGTTAAATAAGTCAAATAAAGAGTATATTTCTTTTTGTACACTGTCACTCCTTCCCTCATTTCCTCACAGTTTTTCCTTCCCAACCCCTTCCTCCCACAAGTTGTATAGTTCATTTTCAACATAGTGTTAGTGAGAATCACTGCTGCATTTATTCACCCATTGTTCCTCCATTTCTGTGATCCCCCATTCCCTCCCCAAAAGATTATAAAAATATAAAAAGAGACAAAAAGACAAAAGTAAAAATGACAAAGGAGAAATTAAACACCAAATAAAATAACAAAATACCTCTTCTTTCCATTTCTTAGAGTTCATTTCTATAAACATCATTCCATATGATCATATGTACATAGCTATTGAACATTTGTGATTCTCTCCTAAAAAAATTATATTAAGCAAAGTAAGACAGACCCAAAGAAATATAAGTTGTATGGTTTCCTTCATTTGTGGCAACTAGAATGTGCCTACAAGTCTATAAATAAACACTCTAGATGGCAAAAAGAGAAAATAAACTTAGACATGACAGGACTCTAAATCTTCACACAGTGAAACCAAAGAAGACTATTAGGAGAGGATCACAAATATTATTTTATATAATCAGACGTACATAGGTATTGCACCTTTGTGCTCCTCTCCTAAAACGTCTACTTTGACCTTTCTGAATGCTAGAGATTTGTATAAGTTATCATGTGGCAGTGCACTTTTGTTTTAACCATCAAGTGGGTTTACTTCTAGGTATATAGGCACATTCTACCTACCTTAAATGAGGAAAAACATGCAACCTGTGTTTCTCTGGGTCTGGCTTACTTGATTTAATATAATTTTTTCCAAGTCTTTCCATTTCCTTACAGATAGTACAATATCACTTTTTTCTGATGGATGAGTAGAATTCCATTATGTATATATACCACATTTGCTTGATCCATTCATCCACTGAGGGTTATCTGGGTTGATTCCATATCTTGGCTATGGTAAATAATGCTGCACTGAACATGGCTGTGCTGGTAGCTTTAGTGTGGCCTTGTTTGTGTTCAATTGGATAAATGCCCAGGAGTGGAATTGCTGGGTCATAAGAATGCTCTATGTTAAATCTTTTGAGGAACCTCCATACTGTTTTCTAGAGTGGTTGAAAAAGTTTACATTCCAATCAAGAGACACATGAAAAAATGTTCAACATCTCTGGCTATATAAGAAATGTAAATCAGAACAACGCTGAGATTCCACCTCATCCCAGTTAGAATGGCCATTACCAAGAAAACTAACAGTAAGAAATGCTGGTGTGAATGTGGCCAAAAGAGAACTCTATTATGCTGAAGAGTATTTTAGTTGGGATATCAATTAATTCAAGATTGAATGAAAGAAGTTTATGGGAAATGAAATACCTATACTGTAGAGTTTCTGTATCATAACCTTAGCAAAAAAACTATCTCAAGAAATTATATTTCC